GGTCTGTTTGGTATCTTTGGTTTCTTCTTTCTCATGATCGATTCCCGTTCGTTTGCCTGGTGGCATCGTCGACGCCGAGACAGACATCGTATGCGCGGTCGGTCGTTGCCCGGTGGTGGCGGACGAGATCCCAACGTTGATCCATATGACCCGGCATTTGTCACACCTCGGCCCCGTCGAGTGTGCACATTCACACTGGAGCTCTGTATTGCTGCCAATCTGCTTCAGCTACTCTTTCTAATTGCTCGACTCGATCATTGGATCCGATCCAAATGGGTGGTCACATTCATTCCCACATTTATTCTGTTGGGTATGAAATTCCTGTTCTGCACAGTTGGATTTATTGTCGCTCTCATTCGATTCTTTACCGCATGTTTCATCCAGCTTGAGCAACGTCGACCTCCAATATATTATTATGCATCGCATCTGTTTATCGATTTTCTGCTCTGCACCTCCATCACTTTGTTGGCTCTGCGTCTGGATGGACATCTGGCCCCGGTGCAGTGCAGTTATTTGCTCATTTGTGCCCCCGTCTTGCTCAGTTTGGTTATATATGCGACTGGGGCATTCTGTTTGGGTCCGGGCAATCCATGGTGGTTCGGGCTGAACCGCAATGTCCTGTTGGCCTTGTTCGAGGCTTGCCCGAGTTTGCAGTTATGTGCCAACACTTCGGTCAGTGCTGCAGGACTGTGGAAACGCACAGAAAGTAGAAGACAACACAATGGTCAAAGCAACGGCACCCATCCGAATGGTGTTCGTTCCACTGGATTTGGAGTGGTGTCGGATTCCGTGTCTGGTTTATAGTAAGTGTGCTACAGTTTCAACCAATTTTATTGATCTGCACGCATGTATTTACATAAACTTTAAAGGGGATTAAATATCTATTTAATTTTCTTAGACTGCAATAAACATTCTCGGGACTTACCATTACATCCGGTTCTTAGTTCCGGCGCGTTCATAAGTTCAATCATGCTACTGAGGTTTTTTTAAATACAACGATTCACGTCGACGGAAAAAGCCTCGTGATTAAAATGTGGTTATAAAAAGTCACATCCTCAATGTAGGATGGCCAATATCAATAGAACACACTAGGATATGTGTCGTGTTTTGTAGAATGTTTCACTTTATCGATCATTAAACTTGCAAAAACTTGTGACCGTTTTCGTCACTGTCTTACGTCTATCCATTTGGTCTACCGTCAGGGAACTAGAAAATGAACGGATTAATAACCGAAAAGTTTATCAAAAAAGAAGGAGAAAGAAGACGAGTAAATCTTTCTTTATTATAGACTGTTGTGTGATGAACAACAGAAAGGACAAACCCCATAGGACCTGCTGATCTCTCTGTCATGGGAATTGACAATCTAAGCCCCGAAACGTGGCGTGGCACTACTAGGATACTCGTGGTTTGGAACTGGGCTGCCGCGAAGTTGTTTGCCCACCAAGCAAGTGAAGACGGCGAACCGACGCACGAGTGCCACTCATTGTCTCTAACCGTTGTTTGATTTGTTCACGAGGTTCCCAACCACGAAATGCAATGCGACCTATAGGACCAAGCTCCCTGATCAGGGCATTCATATTCTCACGTCAAGTCTTAGTTTTACCACCCTTCCCCTTCTTTCACGCACTACCTGTTTCCGCAAACATCGTACGTCAAAAGCGTCTATCAGGTAACATACGGGATACGTTCCGCATCCATCACAACCTATAGAGTTCATGCAGTTGCGTCAGTGCATGACCACTGTTACTCAATACACTTAGTCTACCCTGGGCATTGCTGGTTATCCCACAAGACGGATGCTGCATAAACTTGACCCTTTGCGAATAACTAAATGTCGCATTCAAACCAAATATATCTCAAGTTTCAAATGCCAACCAGGCGTTCTGTCTGTGTGCTGAAACTCCATCTAGGATTCTTCCGTCAAACGAGATTTAGCTGCCCAAGTAAATCTTACGTCTACGTCCTCCGTGTTTAGGTTAAATCGGAGACCGAATCAAACCGTCTTCTGTACGGGGACAGCAATGAGTTCGAAGTACGATAAAGTGCAAAGATTGAAAAGTGTAGAAATTAGCGAATGAAGTAAATTAGAAGAGGAAGGCAAATACTTCCTATCGGACGATTCCAACTCAGCTCCATAAAACAAGTAGTAAGGAATTCATTTAGCGTAAACGATGAATATTGAATGACTTCAAACTTCTAAATATGCCCATGCTTGCATTCAGAATGCAATTTCCAGCGAACAATTGTTTTCTATAACTCATAATCATCCCGTCACAGTTTATATGATGGGAAAAAATC